GGCTAGGTGACCGCTTCGCGTTCGCACGGCGTTGCTGCGACGCGGCCGCTCCGCTCTCTCTGGCGAGGCGACGAGAGCCACGCTTCTCTGGAGGTGCCGGGCTGCCGACTGCCACCACCGCACCACTACCACGAATCACACGAGCTCACGGGGCCACGGGCCAAGCTCCGGTAGTCACGAGCGGCCAATTCATCGAGCTGGTGCTCCGATCGTGGTGCTGGCGACGCGACGCGTCGGTATCGCGTGCGTAAAGGCATATTACATGCGCTCACACAGTACATACACACGTACGCGTGACGTACTCGTACACCCACACGATACAGCCGTTACGTATACGCACGGAAGTCGTCGGTGCATACACGCATATACGCAGCCACGCGTGCGTACGCACTGTTCGCGCGCGCGACGCGAAGCATCTCGCAGCGGGAGGAGCAGCGGTGGAAAAGCTCGGATGAGAGAGCACTACTCGCGTATAAAGTGGCATCGGGTACATAGCGAGAGAGAAAAAGAGAGAGAAAGAGAGCGAGAGAAAAAAAGAGGGATAGGAAGAGAGTAAGGGAGAGAGAGAGAGAGAGAGAGAGAGAGAGAGAGAGAAAGAGAGAGAGAAAGAGAGAGAGAATCGAGTTTCTCTGAGCCGAACATAGTGCGCGCAAGCTTGCGGAGAATAGTCCTGGTGGACGCCTGAGGGGGAAGATCGACGTGGGAGCTCTCAGTGCCGGAGCTTGCGGAGACGCGCTACCTACTCGGGAAGAACTCCATCGTGGAGGTTTTCGACCGACTGGCGGCTTCCGGAATTTCCGGGTTAGCGGGTCGGCGCGTCGCCAAGGAACAGATTGAGCTTGACAGTCCGGATGCGTCGCGGGAGAAAAACGCGCGATGCTTGCGTAAGCAGTTGCGCGTGTCAATAAGATAGTTTCGTATTTTGTGCTCCGCGGCAATTGCCAGAAGAGCTCAACGCGGAAAGAGTCTGGGACCATACGAAGATAGACGCTGCACGAAATGCGTACTCAACTGAAGAAAGATCGCGTGTGTGCTGGTTGAAGTGTTCAATGAACGAAACTCGCTCGGTATTTGGTCCTCGAGCGAGTGGCGAACATCTGTTTTTGTTCTGACGCGAAGCACGGCGGAGCTTTCAAAAAGTACACCGGGAAGCTGCGAACGCTCTTCTTTCGTTGACCGTTTGATGTTTACTCGTAAGCGTTTTCTCCTCTATTTTAATTGGCTTCGGCGAAGCTTCATCTACCTGAATCTCAACTTTACGGATGTGACTGAGTTTACGATTGTGTGCTCGAATAATAGTGAAGGCTTACAGAAGTAAGAAACGAAATTCTTCTCGTCCTTAGCCAATTGGCATTTACAAGATGGCACTTTGAAGAAAGCTTTATATCTCGATACTTGATATCTTATAACATTCTGTGAAAAGCTCTATCTTTACCTACGAAGTGTATAAAAGAAATTTTACAGACTCTCTAATGTTCTCTCGCATAAATTTCTAGACTTGTTTTCTTAATTATGATCATTTTTAGCCTTTAAAATACTTTTTCTTGTTATAACTAAAAAATAACGTTTCGTTACTCGTTATGTGAACTAGTAGTGAGGATTGGATCCGGATCTCGAACACGTATTGAATCTTGTCGACGAGCAATGTCATTGATAGCCGTCTCTCCGAGGAGTGCACTCGTATCTGTGTATAGACTCAACAGAGAGCTCAAAAACTAGAGAATGTAGTGTCCTGCTTGCTGGCGGAGATTCAAGCTCAGGCTTTTGCGGCGGCCAACCGAGCCGAAACAGGTGGAAGATCTCCGGCGCGATACTCTGAAGAGTACCACGAAGAGCTATCGCGTGACTATCGATGATGGTGGAAGGCACGTTGCCAGAACGCGGTTGGTTGGCCCGGCGCGCATCTTCGCTCGGATCGTGCTCTGCTGCGTGCCGGTCATCACTTCGTTAAGCTCGATACTTTTTAAAGAGATCGAGCTAGAGAAAGAGAGAACCTTGAGGAATGCTAAATGTGAAATGACGATTTTTAGGATCGTTCTCGAGCTTAAGCCGTCGACGCCGATGTCATCATCATCATCGTCGTTGTCGTCGTCGTCGTCGTCGTCGTCGTCGTCGTCGTCGCCGTCGTCGTCGTCGTCGTCGTCGTCGCGATGTTGGAGGGGCAAATGTTATTTGGCTAGTTAGTTACATCTCTCCGATGCAATTTTATAACGAATGCAGCGAGACGCGTTGGGACTCGACAAGAATCTGTTTCGATATTTGCATTTTGAAGAGCAAGAGGAGACGATAAAAGATCTTTGCATAAACCGAATTTGTTTTCCCGCAAGAAGAATTATTGTTGAGAAGATTAAATATACACGCAGCTGTGTGAGACGAGTAGAAAAATAAATAAATTCGTAGATAAATAAATGAGGCAAGTAGACGGAAGTAGAAGGAAATAGAAAGGATAGTAAGGAAGACATAGTAAGTATAGATCTTGGATTTAAAAACTAAGATCTGATTAAAGGAACGTTAGAAGCCGAGAACTTGAATTAAATCTAGAAATTAGCAATGTGATCGTTCTTTGAAAGAAATCTAGGCCAGTAGTCGTTACTATTCGATCGTGCGACGAGTTTGAAGAAGCATGAATCAAACAAATGTCAGTTCGAACTGATTTAAGAAGATCCGTGGCAAGAAGCAGCGTATTCCGCGCTGTGTGGAGGAAACACAAAGAGGAGAAAAAAGTCTTTAAGTTTAAAAGATTTATTGGATCTCTATGTAAAAGAAATCTTTCGAGAGTTGCCAATCGGAAATATAAAAAGATCATTTCAAGTTCATTGCAAGAATGATAACTGAAGTAATCATCGAGATAGCTACGAATGTTTGAGTGACGAGCGGCGCCACAAATTTCAGTTTGTAAATATTCGAATTGGCAAAAAGAAGAAACGCTTTACACGATTCAAGGATCTTATCCATCGTCAAAGCAATCTACCGTAAGTGATTGATGACGGATCGGATCATCGATGTTGGACTTGTTACATATATAGATCTAGATCGCCAAGGTTTGTACAGAGAAATCGATTTGACGTGTCAAGAGTAGAGTTGCCGACGCTTCGGGTACGGTCAACGCTGGCTCTCCCGCTACCCTGAAGGAAGATTCCACCTTCAAGTATGGCCTCGGTGGCAGCGTGGCTGCCATTCGCCCGTGCGGCGGCGATCGGTTGGGTACCGATCGCCACACACCCACTGCCACCGCCGCCGATCCCGAAAGACCGGCGCAAGGCCGACGACGAGAAGCTGCTGATCAACGTGAGCGGCCGTCGCTTCGAGACGTGGCGCAACACCCTGGAGAAATATCCGGACACGCTACTCGGTTCGAACGAGCGCGAATTCTTCTACGACGAGGAGAGCAAGGAGTACTTTTTCGACCGGGATCCAGACATCTTCCGGCACATTCTCAATTATTATAGAACCGGCAAGCTACATTATCCGAAGCACGAGTGCCTGACGAGCTACGATGAGGAACTTGCATTCTTCGGTATCTTGCCGGATGTGATTGGCGATTGTTGTTATGAGGACTATAGGGACCGCAAACGCGAGAACGCCGAACGGCTGATGGACGATAAGTTGAGCGAGAATGGTGACCAAACCCTCCAGCAGCTGCTCGACATTCGGCAGAAGATGTGGCGAGCCTTCCAGAATCCGCACACTTCCACCGCTGCATTGGTATTCTACTATGTCACCGGATTCTTTATCGCCGTTAGCGTGCTTGCGAACGTGGTGGAGACTGTGCCGTGTGGCAATCGACCGGGCCGTGCCGGCACTCTTTCGTGCGGCGAGCGTTACAAGATCGTATTCTTCTGCCTGGACACTGCGTGTGTAATGATTTTCACAGCCGAATACCTGCTCAGGCTGTTCGCCGCGCCCAGCCGATGCAAATTCGCGCGCTCCGTGATGTCGGTAATTGATGTGGTCGCGATACTGCCGTATTACATCGGACTCGGGATCACCGACAACGACGACGTGTCGGGCGCGTTCGTGACGCTACGCGTGTTTCGCGTGTTCCGTATCTTCAAATTTTCACGCCACTCGCAGGGATTACGTATTCTGGGCTACACTCTAAAGTCCTGCGCTTCCGAGTTGGGTTTTCTCGTGTTCTCGCTCGCGATGGCCATCATTATCTTCGCCACCGTCATGTTCTACGCGGAAAAGAACGTCGACGGTACCAACTTTACCTCGATACCTTCCGCCTTCTGGTACACCATCGTAACGATGACTACGCTGGGGTAAATACAATATTTTATTTATACATTATTATAAATTTGATATGTTCAATATATTGTAATAAATATTTCTCTCTTTCTCTCTCTCTCTCTCTCTCTCTCTCTCTCTCTTTCATATGTCAGTTGCAAAAATTACAATACGTTGTTACATATTAAATCTTGCACGTTTATGTTCCTTACATATCATTTATTTTGTAATTATTTATTGTTATTTAAATTAAGGCAAATTATAGTTATACTATACTATATATATAATAGAATATTTATCCGAGATACATTCTGGAGATGTCCTTAAGATGTTTAAAGGATATACGGACCTTCCCTGGAGGAATGTATATACATACACATAACCACAAATCAATGGCTACGCTCAGCAGAGAAAACAGCTTTGCAACATGTTATAACATTTTTCAATATGATTTATATACATTTAAATCCATAAGAATCAAAAGCAGGAACCCATCATTTTTTTTAGGGGCAAATTATATTATAATTTTTTATCCGCTGTGGTAAAAATATGTTTTGCAACGTTCTTAATATATTTCTCTGCCTCTTCTACATACGTGTCAATTTTTGTCATTGATCTTAGTATGTTTATCTGTATATATATAATTTTAATTGACAGCCTTATCTTTGAATATGAAAATAGAACATATTTTTATTTTGGAAGATTGTTACAAAGCGAAAAAGTAATATGCATATAAATATTTATTAGATACTAAGTTTATGTGAATTCTTCACGTTAAAAAATTTGATAAATTGATTTTTACAAATTTAGGTATACAGTTAAGGAGCATTTAATCATATTGAGTTACGTGAATTGTAAATTGCGAAACTTGTAAAAATCTTCCTTGTATATATAATAAATATACAATTAAGGAGATTTTTACAAATTTTACATTTACAACTGTAACTCAATTTGAAAACAGAGTATAATAGTACACTTACAATGCGTCGAGTTATGTACTCTATATAATGGAAGTGAATTGTGTCCGTTGAAGTACAAGAGAGTTTGAGTATTTGACACAATCTGGTGACCAACTTTAGCGTCGTTATAACTTTTTAACGAGATCGTCATGGTTCCTTGCCCATATGTAGTATTTTTGTACGGTACATTGTTTCGCGAACGTTTAATGTTTTGCACTTTAAATTATTTCGATAACGTGCACTTTCCATGCACGCTTTATCATGCTTTCAAACTTTTCCGAATTATTACTGCTTTAATAGATGAGTGAGTAAAGTCTAAAATTATAAAATTTAGATTATAAAAATTCTTTATAATTTTCATATTTTACAATTTTGTATGTGTGAATATACAGCTTAAAACTCTTGAGCTTAAAACAATTTATAATTTATATAAATATAAGTAATATACATAAGTCATTATATTAGACTTCTCAACTATTTTAAACATTTTATTTTGTAATTTGTTAAATATATCTTCATTAAATTTTTTATTATATTGTAGTTAAAAAGAAAAGACTTGGCTCAAAATTTGCCAAATATTCGCTTTACAATACGCTTATATATGCGTGATTAAATTATAATTGTTTACAGTTTGAAACATCAAACTATTATACTAATTATTCAATCTAATTATTGGGTATAACAAATTCCATCTGGTGAAAATATTATCGTGATTCGAAAGAGCATTATCCTCGCAGAATTTACTGGCCTATAAAATCTTTTTTCCTTTAACCTGCGGATTTTCTTTCTCCCTTTCTCAGTCCAATATCGGAAACGGGCGTCGGCAGAAGCGGAAAAGTCTTGCATGCATCTCTTCCGCGGCCGTAAACGCGGCTGCACTCGATTCCTCGGAAGCGTTGTTCCTCTATTTTACGACACGGCCGCTATTTCTGCCCGGCCGAATCTATGCCAATGATATTTTTGTTGCGTTTTCACTCAGACAGCTGACAATCACACGTAATTCGAGTTACCGAGGATTGTCTAATAGTTGCACTTACTTGTTACTATCCGTATGATTTGGATTAAGTTTGTCTAGATTACATTTCGCCGACCGTATTTCTTTCATATAACATTACTACCGAACACTTATTAGATGACACTATGTTTAGATTTTTTTTTCGGAAGTACTCGTAAAGGAATATTTAACTAGGTTATAACAAAAAGAACGATTTTGCTGAAATATCTAAAAAAAAGCTAGATACAGGTTTGAAAATAATTTTGTTGGACTATAAAATAATCATGTAGGACGCTCAAGCATAATAAATAATGCTGCAAAACGTTTTGACATTTTAGCAATAAATTTAAGCGTCCTACATAATAATTTTAACAAATACATAGGTCTAACAAAATTATTTTTAGATTTATTCTAGCTATATTTTCAGACTTAAGGTTCTTTTATCATTCTTTTTGTATATTGATTACGAATTGATTATTGTGTAAATGTCAGATCTTTATTAAACTAGCAGGACTAAGCAAAATAAAACCGGATTTGTTGGAATATTTCGTACTTATTTATTAAATTGTATTGTTAAAAATAATTTTGTATTATATATATGTGCCATTTTGAAGAGAACCATGACGTAGCAACTTATGTATTATTATAATACAATATTAAGGTAGTATACTCGTGATAACACCCTTCAAAAGTTAGGTCCCAGTACGCGCTCGGTGGCGATACTCCCGCTAGTGAGAGATAATTTTATTGTTTGTCCGCACGCGAAAAAAATGAATATAGATAATAGCTCATTGTGCTATACTTATAAACCCCCTTTAATTTACATGACAGATTAACAAATGTTTACGAAAATTACATTCTTTTCATAGCTCCACTTTCCAAACTAAACGATAAAAAATTATAACATTTTTTTCGTAATTTATGTTTCTCTATCGTATGCTCGTTTTTTATTGATATATCTGCTAATTTAGACTCTATAAAAATAAATGCGACATTTTCATGAACTTGTATAGACGACACGTATAAGAAGTACAGTTTTTGATTGTTTATATCTCACAAAAGGGAACCTCATCGTCACCTTATCGATATTTAAGTTTTTTGTTTTTACTTGATAAAGTACCTCTTAAAATGTATCCTTGCTGCTTTATAAGTAAATGTAACAATTGCAATCTAGAGATACGGTGATCTAATCAATTCACTAAAGTATCTCAAATTCTTAAGTTTAAGACAAAAATATTTTAACCCAAAGATTACAAGGGAATGCGAGGTGTTAAATTTTGATTATAATGAAATTTTGTGTACATATAGGGTACGTAAAAAGATGAATTTAGAAAATACTAGTTTCGGTGGAAAAACGTTTGAATGGGTGAAATCACCTCTTTTATGTGTAAAGCGGTATTTCAGCTTTTTTTTATATCTCGAAAACTATTCGAGATATCAAAAATGTTTTATACAAAAATTTTCTAATAAAACTATTTCTATTCACATCAATAATATTTTTTTAGAATAATTATTAAAAAAATTTTTTTTTAAAAGAAATTATTTTAAATATTATTTAGTTACTGGGGGAAAGAAATGATGACCTTAACTGACTTTAAGAAAAGGTCCTTAAGATTAGATCAGAGCCATTAAAAATTTTTTAATTATAAACTCCATTTTTTTAGTGCTTGATAAAATAACTGATTCGACTTACTTAAAATAGGAAATATAAAATAGATTCCAGAAATTTATTACTAGTTTAGTAAAGGTGAAAGTAAGCATCAGGAAAGAGGATCGGTAATGATTGCTAAATTGGATAGAAATAAATCGTGTTTTTTTTTTGTAAAAAGAATCTTTGATAGAAAGAAACTTGAATCGAGGAATAAAGACTATTTGTTAGAACATTTTTATTCTGGACTTTTCTTATATGTAGGTACTATTTATCTGAACATTATAAGAACTATCATTGTTCTTGGCTTCAATATACAAATAGAGAAGAGTGACAATAGTTACATGGCACTTTGTATGCAAATTACATTTCTCGAATAATTTTATGCAAAACGATTTTGTCTAACATTATGCGGGCGAAGTGTGAGTACGTAGCTTTGCTAGAAAATTGAGATTTTCTTAGAGCACCGGACGAAGTTCGTAAAATAGCGCAAAAGATAATCTCGGCATAGATCTGGATTTAGTGAATAATGAAATGTAGTTATGTCGAGTCAAGAAGAAAAAAATCTGATTTGTCGATTAAGTCAACGGCGTATCACTATTTTTTTGTGTCTCACTGCCTGCTTTAGCGTTTGCTTTGCGTGTCTGCAGGACCAGGACAGGTCACTTTCTTCAAACTTTAACGAGAAGGATCAACAGGTGCTTCGAGGATTCGTCTAGTCGCACAACTAACTTGATCCTTTTTTAATCTACACCAGCCGAATAGTGGTTGCCGTTATGAATTAGCTTCGACCTAGACTTACGCGGTGCCAGAACAAAAGAGTGAAAATTGCGGTATTAAAAACCACGCGAGAACTCCGAAATAAATGGTACGCGGAATTAGTTTCGCGAAATTTTTCGGTTATCATAGGGATTACGTAACTCATCTATTGGCAACAACGCAATTCAATCATACTTTTAATTCTCTACCGTGCAAATCTTTTTGTTAAAGGGATGGATATTAATATTTTGTGCACGTGGAGAATCTTTGAAAATTAATGACGTTAAAAAAAACTGTGCTACTGAAACTACGAATTAATTTTGTTGTCTGTAATACCGATGAAGCACGTATTTCGTACTTTTTAATTTTGTTTGTTTTTGTTCTACAAAATAAAAAATCCTTTTTCAGAATAAAAAAAAGAATGCGGGAAAAAAGTTGTGGGAAATTGCAAACCTGTTATAAAAAAACTCTAAAAAATATAAATTACGGTTTCTTATTACACGTACATCATTATTTTGCATAATATAAATTAAATGATTCAAAGTCCAAACAAAAATAGTTTCCTACATTTGAATAATATATAAGAATATAATGAGATCTTCAAATTATTATTTTAAAGCTTAATTAATATTGAAATGAATAAAAAAGTATAATCTGAATGTACACGATCATTCA